CCAGTGACTCTCCTCAAACTGATCTTAGTGGCATTAAAAGAAGAAGGGAAGTAACCCCGGAAAAGGACTTGCTACCTCAAATCCTCATGGAAGGGGATTTCCCTTCCAAACAATAACAAATTCCACCATCTCCCCTCCTCCCATTCCATCAATCATCACCAGATCTTCAATAAAGGTAAGTGTCATGTATTCTTTATTTAGTAGAGTAGTAATTGTGCATGTCTTCTTCTTTTTGGGTGTATAAAAATGTATATTTCATGTGGTAATTTTTTTTTCATACTTTGGGGTGTCAGGAACGGATTAATTTGATTTCCATTATTTCTTACGGGGAAAATTAATTCGGCTTACAATGAGTTCTCAGGAACGGATTAATATCATTAGGCGAGTGTCTAATGATATATTATATATATATATATATTATATTATATATATATATATATATATATATATATATATATATATATATATATATATATATATATATATATATATATTTATATATCTATATATATATATATATATATATATATATATATATATATATATATATATATATATATATATATATATATATATATATATATATATATAGATATTATATATAATATATATATATATATATATATATATATATTATATATTATATATATATATATATATATATATATATATATATATATATATATATATATATATATATATATATATATATATATATATATATATATATATATATATATATATATATATACAGTGGACCCCTGCATACCGATTTTAATCCGTGCAAGAGGGGTCATTGTTATGCGAAATAATCGGTATGCGAATGAATTTTCCCCATAAGAAATAATGGAAATCAAATTAATCCGTGCAAGTCACCCAAAAGTATGAAAAAAAAAATTTTACCACATGAAATATACATTTTCCTACACACAAAGAGGATACATGCACAATAGTAGAGTAGTACATGCACAATATATATTGTGCATGTACTACTCTACTAAATGAAGAATAAATGACACTTACCTTTATTGAAGATGCAGCAATGACTGATGAGACACTGTGTCCTGGGAGTGCCTTTTCCTCCTGAGTACTGTAGGTCCTGTTTGGCATTTTCTTCCAGAACAGGCCTTATCACACTGTGTATGCCACTACAATTCTTAAATCTCTCAAACCAACCTTTGCTGGCTTTAAATTCACCAGTATGAGCACTAGTTCCAGGCATTTTTCCCTGTTCACCTGGGTGTTAGTCGACTTGTGTGGGTTGCATCCTGGGAGACAAGATTAAGGACCCCAATGGAAATAAGTTAGACAGTCTTCGATGACACTGACTTTTTTGGGTTATCCTGGGTGGCAAATCCTCTGGGGTTAATTGTTTCTTGGCATTCTCATAAGCCACACAACAACGGTGCTACAGCAGCAGCAGCAGCTGACGGTGGTACAGCAGCAACAGACGATGCTACAGCAGCAGCAGACGATGCTACAGCAGCAGCAGACGATGCTACAGCAGCAGCAGCAGCTGACGGTGGTACAGCAGCAACAGACGATGCTACAGTAGCAGCAGACGATGCTACAGCAGCAACAGACGATGCTACAGTAGCAGCAGACGATGCTACAGCAGCAACAGACGATGTTACAGCAGCAGCAGACGATGCTACAGCAGCAGCAGACGATGCTACAGCAGCAGCAGACGATGCTACAGCAGTAGCAGCAGCTGACGGTGGTACAGCAGCAACAGACGATGCTACAGCAGCAACAGACGATGTTACAGCAGCAGCAGACGATGCTACAGCAGCAGCAGCAGCTGACGGTGGTACAGCAGCAACAGATGATGCTACAGCAGCAGCAGACGATGCTACAGCAGCAACAGACGATGTTACAGCAGCAGCAGACGATGCTACAGCAGCAGCAGCAGCTGACGGTGGTACAGCAGCAACAGACGATGCTACAGCAGCAACAGACGATGCTACAGCAGCAACAGATGATGTTACAGCAGCAGCAGACGATGCTACAGCAGCAGCTGACGGTGGTACAGCAGCAACAGACGATGCTACAGCAGCAACAGACGATGTTACAGCAGCAGCAGACGATGCTACAGCAGCAGCAGCAGCTGACAGTGCAGCAGCAGCAGCAGCTGTACCACCAATAGTAGCGATGGTTGATTGGGGTTTATTATACAACCTGGCCAGCTCGGAGACACGCACTCCACTTTCATACTTATCAATAATCTTTTTCTTCATCTCTATTGTAATTCTCACCCTTATGCTGTAGGGTTGGCACTAGAAGCTTTCTTGGGGCCCATGGTCACTTATTTTCCAGAAAAAGCACCGAAAACACTGTAATAAAAGAAATATTCCGATTTTATGCTTGGATGTTTCCGCGGGGCTGGCTGGGGAAACATGCCACCGGCGGAGCATGTGGCGTGGCTAAAGGGCCCCACATTGGCGCGTTCGGATGAAATCGGTGAGCGGGTTTTTAAACGGTATCAAGGCAAAATTTTGCGATTTAAAACAAGCGGATGGGATTAATCGTTATGTGAGATCGGGGATGCGGGGGCCATGTATAAAATAATTTAATATATTTTTATAATAAAAATTTTTATATATAAAATATATATTTAATATTATTATTATTAAAAAACCCGGTACATCACAATCCCCAGGCCTTGAAAGGATTTGTGAGTCACCCTGGTTGTTTAATATTTTATAATGGGGGTTGTAAGAGAAGTAAATGCGAGGGTTTTGGGAAGAGGGGGATTAAAAATAAAAAATCACACACAAAGTGGGGTTGTCACATGCTCTTTGCTGATGACACTGTGCCTTGGGAGATTTTGAAGAGAAGTTGCAGAGTTGGGGTGAATTTGGTAGGGGGTGCAAAAAAAAAAATTAAAGGGGAATACAGGAAAGAGTAAGGTTATGAGGTAACAAAAGATTAGGTGATGAAAGATTGAATATCAGATTGGAGGGAGAGAGTATGGAGGAGGTGAAAGTATTCAGATATTTGGGAGTGGACGTGTCAGTGGATGGGTCTATGAAAGATGAGGTGAATCATAGAATTGATGAGGGGAAAAGAGTGAGTGGTGCACTTAGGAGTCTGTGGAGACAAAGAACTTTGTCCTTGGAGGCAAAGAGGGGAATGTATGAGAGTATAGTTTTACCAACGCTCTTATATGGGTGTGAAGCATGGTGATGAATGTTGCAGCGAGGAGAAAGGCTGGAGGCAGTGGAGATGTCATGTCTGAGGGCAATGTGTGGTGTGAATATAATGCAGAGAATTCATAGTTTGGAAGTTAGGAGGAGGTGCGGGATTACCAAAACTGTTGTCCAGAGGGCTGAGGAAGGGTTGTTGAGGTGGTTCGGACATGTAGAGAGAATGGAGCGAAACAGAATGACTTCAAGAGTGTATCAGTCTGTAGTGGAAGGAAGGGGGGGTAGGGGTCGGCCTAGGAAAGGTTGGAGAGAGGGGGTAAAGGAGGTTTTGTGTGCGAGGGGCTTGGACTTCCAGCAGACATGCATGAGCGTGTTTGATAGGAGTGAATGGAGACAAATGGTTTTTAATACTTGACGTGCTGTTGGAGTGTGAGCAAAGTAACATTTATGAAGGGGTTCAGGGAAACCGGCAGGCCGGACTTGAGTCCTGGAGATGGGAAGTACAGTGCCTGCACTCTGAAGGAGGGGTGTTAATGTTGCAGTTTAAAAACTGTAGTGTAAAGCACCCTTCTGGCAAGACAGTGATGGAGTGAATGATGGTGAAAGTTTTTCTTTTTCGGGCCACCCTGTCTTGGTGGGAATCGGCCGGTGTGATAATAAAAAAAAAAATATATATATATATATCTAGGTAGTAGGTTGGTAGACAGCAACCGCCCAGGGAGGTACTACCGTCCTGCCAAGTGAGTGCAAAACGAAAGCCTGTAATCGTTTTACATGATGGTAGGATTGCTGGTGTCATTTTTTCTGTCTCATAAACATGCAAGATTTCAGGTACGTCTTGCTACTTCTACTTACATTTAGGTCACACTACACATACATGTACAAGCATATATATATACACACCCCTTTGAGTTTTCCTCTATTTTCTTTCTAGTTCTTGTTCTTGTTTATTTCCTCTTACCTCCATGGGGAAGTGGAACAGAATTCTTCCTCCGTAAGCCATGCGTGTTGTAAGAGGCGACTGAAATGCCGGGAGCAAGGGGCTAGTAACCCCTTCTCCTGTATATATTACTAAATGTAAAAGGAGAAACTTTCGTTTTTCTTTTTGGGCCACCCCACCTCGGTGGGATACGGCCGGTGTGTTGAAAGAAGAAAGAATATATATATATATATTTATACTGTGTTAGGTAGTGACACCGTGGTGTGGCTGTATAGGCCATATTACAATTGCCTTATGTATCTTGGGGAGACTTGTTACTCTTTTTCCTGATACCATTAGCATTTGAGTCACTCTTGTAAAATTTTCATTATGAATTGGGAAGGGAGTTGCTTTTAGTTACTGTAGGAGTCACATTCTTAGTCTCACATTCCTGTCAGACACTGAGTGGCAAAGTGCTGGCAATCAATATAATAGTCAGTGTCTCTGTGGTATAGCTCTGCTGTATACTGAGAGGTAAGTTTCATTTTTACTAATTGTAATTTATTACCAAGTTTGTTATGACAGTTTTCATCATGACCAGGCTGATAGACCCTTTGTATCACACTCATTATCCACATTATTACATTATCACTATAAACAAACAACTTGCCTTCACAAAAATGTCTCCCTCAGACTTCTTTTTGTAAGCAGTTCTTTGTAGAATAAGTTTACATCTTACATTAAACTTTACATTTATACAATAAGAGTATCACAAGTGGCTTTCTTTTGTGAGTAATGATATTTTATTACATGTGAACTACATTACCTGTATACTGCAGAAAAGAAATAAATTGATTATTGTTATTATTATTATTATTATTATTATTATTATTATTATTATTATCATGACTAATATATGGACTGGTTCTCATCAGGGTGATGGTGCTGCAGGCAGGCACTGTAGCAGAATTTGATACCCCTGCTGCACTCCTCAGCCAGACCCACTCAATTTTCTACAACATGTTGAAGGATGCAGGTCTTGTCTAGCCCAGCTGCTGATGCTTGTAGATACTACATATCATATATACCCGAGTATAGATCGAGATTTTAAGACCACATTATTAAGCAAAAAGTAAGGGGTTGACCTATTCACATCACTCAAATGTTTGTCCAGCCTACTGGTTTAAACTTCAGTAAACCTATTAATTTATGCTCTGTAGGCTGTACTCAAATGCAAACCTTCTTGTTCATAAATTTTTCCAACCTGTTTATAAAATTACCCAAAGTGTAGTGCTATTTTTACATTTTCAGAGCTTGTTTTCAGGTTAAAAATTCAAACAAATCTTATCCTATCTTAAAATATATTTGCATCAGAACCATTTGACCCTTTGAAAGTCCCTCAAAAACTAGGGTAAACCTATAAGTGAGATATATGAAAAATTATGGATTTTTTGGCATAAAAACTCAGGTATTAATTTATACACTCTGTTGGGTTTATACTGGAGTATATATAGTATATAAAATAGGTTGCAGTATGTGTAAAATTAAATACAGTACTGTATATAGATACGTACACTGTTAATGTAACACTCACAAATCTAATAATTCACTGATTATACAGAAGCACTAAACCCATAAGGTTATCAAGTTTTTCGGGAATACGAGCTAATCGGTTTGACTCAAGGAAGTGGAGGGTAAATCTAATTCCATAAGTCAAAAGATCTTTGCTGGCATTAAGGCACTCCCCTTGAAGCAATAATTCAATGTAAATATATGTCTTAACTGTATGTTAAAAGAAATATAAAAAACAACTGGTTTGCAGCTTAAAACTGAAGTAAAATGCTATAATTTTAATATTAGTAATTTTGTTCTTCAAACACTTGTTGATTGAGCTCTTAATAAAAGCCTATAATCTGGTTGACATTGCAATTGAAGCCAATTTAAGCAACATTTTTTTTAAATTGAGAACATTTAGGCACATTATACATAGGGTTTCATCTTTATTGTAGTCTAATATACTCTGATGTGTTCATATATCTCTGTCCACTTGGCTCCTGCTGCTGTTGCTGCTGACAGTAAAATAACCAGTCTTTTTTTTTACCAAATTGATCTGGAATATAAAGCTTCAAGAAATTATCTTTTTATTTCCCATATTTCACTCTTATACATTGTTTATTTAGTCCTTTAACTGTGTCCAACGTACTAGTATGTAGGTGCTGGTACTGTCTGACTTACTAGTATGCACCATTTTTCATGCCCACAAATCTGGCACCTGCCAGTTGTTTGACTTCACTACTCATACATTTGAAAAAATCTAAGGCCAGCAGGATCCACATGATGTATCATGGTTAATTACTCAGAGGATGACTGTATGTTCGACTTACTAGTATGCCTCACGAGTAAGAGTAAACAAAAATGCCAGGAGCTGTTGTTTCACCACCAGTCTCCTCACCAGCAAACAGCATATGCAGGTGGTTCAGAGATGATGTACTCAGTCCAAATTTATTACAATTTCATGGTACTAACAGTGGAATTCAGCCACAAAACCCAGGATAACCCAGTAAAGTCAATGTGAATAAATTCCATGTTTCGATGAGTAATACACATTCTGAAATAATTGTAATATTATAAGTATTCATTATACATCCCCTTAGAAGATCAAAATAGTATAAAAATATAATAAAAATAATTATAAAGTATATGTATTGTATATATAACCCAGTGAAGTCAATCAATATGACTTATTCCATGTTTTTAGGAGTATTACGCTCTGAAACAATTGTTATAAGAACAGCCTCTCTTCATTTAGCGACATACTCATTTACCAACGATTTGGATTTACGACGGGCTCTCTGACCAGTATGCATACCTAAATAATGTATATTAGAGCTGATTTCCTCTATTCTGTTTATTACAATATAAAGTACACTACTGTATAAACATTTGAAAATATACTAAAAATGTTATAACTGGTGCAAGGGTGACATTAAAGCAATATCAAAGTTGGTCGACACAAACCCAATACCATTATAGTTTGCTCCTCGTTTAGTGACAAATTCATATACCGACAGTATTGGGAATGGAACCCCGTCGTTAAGTGAGGAGAGGCTGTATTCCTTATACATAAATTTAGAAGACCAAAATAGTAAAAAATAAAACTAAAAAGCAATTATACCACATTATCTTCTTTCAACAAACCAGCCATATCCCACTGAGGCAGTATACAGTGGACCCCCGCATACCGATTTTAATCCGTGCAAGAGGGGTAATTGTTATGCGAAATAATCGGTATGCGAATGAATTTTCCCCATAAGAAATAATGGAAATCAAATTAATCCGTGCAAGACACCCAAAAGTATGAAAAAAAAAAATTTTTTACCACATGAAATGTTAATTTTAGTACACACAAACTGAAAAAGGCATGCACACTTACAATGACACTTACTTTTATTGAACATCTGGTGATGATTGATGGGATGGGAGGAGGGGAGAGAGAGTGTTAGTGTTTAAAAGGGGGAATCCCCTTCCATTAAGACTTGAGGTGTCGAGTCCTTTTCTGGGGTTACTTCCCTTCTTCTTTTAATGCCACTAGAACCAGCTTCAGAGTCACTGGACTTCTTTCGCACAACATATCTGTCCATAGTGGCCTGTACCTCTCGTTCCTTTATGACTTCCCTAAAGTGTTTCACAACATTGTCAGTGAATAGTCACCACCCACGGCTTGCAATAGCTGTGTGAGGGTGATTTTCATCAAAAAAGGTTTGCACTTCAAGCCATTTTTGCACACATTTCCTTATCTTTGTAGTAGGCAACTTCTTAAATTTCTCTCTCCCCTCCTCTGAACCAGTTTTCTCAGTCTGGCCTCTTGCTCTTGAAGTTGATCTATCAGCTCATCAGGGGTTAGTTCTTCATTGCCCCTCCACCAACTCTTCCACATCCCCCCACTAACCCCCAAACCCCCAAGACTTTCCCAATCCCACAATGGATTCCTCAACTGGCATAATCCTCTCAGGGTTAGCCTCAAACCCTTCAAAATCCCTTTTGTCTACACATTCTGGCCACAGTTTCTTCCAAGCAGAGTTCAAGTCTTCTTAGTCACTCCCTCCCAAGCCTTACCTAAAGGTTTACACAATTGAGGATATTAAAGTGCTCTCTCCAAAACTCCTTAGAGTCAGTTGAGTTTCTGAGGTCACTACAAAGCACCTTTCAAACAGAGCTTTTGTGTACAGTTTTTTGAAGTTTGCAATAACCTGCTGGGCCATGGGCTGCAGGAGAGGGGTGGTATTAGGAGGCAAAAACTTGATGTTAATGAATTTCATGTCCCCATAAAGTCGCTCTGCCACGTCTGTAGGATGACCAGGGGCATTGTCTAACACCAGGAGGCACTTAAGTTCTAATTTCTTTTCAGTTAGGTAATCTTTCACATTGGGGGCAAATGCTGGTGTAACCATCAAGAAAAAGTCTCTAGTGACCCATGCCTTACTGTTTGCCCTCCACAGCACACACAAATTCTCCTTGAGGACATTCTTTTGCTGAACGTCTGGGAGTTTCAGAGTGATACACTAATAAAGCTTAACTTTGCAATCACCAGTAGCATTGGAACACATCAACAAAGTAAGCCTTCTTTCATAGGCTTATGTCCTGGGAGTGCCTTTTCCTCCTGAGTAATGTAGTCCTGCTTGGCATTTTCTTCCAAAACAGGCCTGTTTCATCACAATTAAAAACTTGTTCAGGTTTCATCCTTCATCCTTATGACTCCTTGAATTCATGCACATATTTTTTTAGGCCGCTTTGTGGTCCGAACTGGCAGCTTCACCATGCCTTATCACACTATGTATGCCACTACGCTTCTTAAATTTTCTCAAACCAACCTTTGCTGGGCCCTTAAAATTTACTCACACAGCACTATTGCAGCATTTTTAATTAAATCCTGATGCAACTTCCTAGCCTTTTCGCTTATGATCGCTTGAGAGATGCTATCTCCTGCTAGCTGTTTTTCATTTATCCACACCAATAAGAGTCTCTCAACATCTTCCATCACTTGCGATCTTTGTTTCGAAACACAGTTAAACCTTTGGCAAGAACAGCTTCCTTTATTGCCTTTCTGGGGCCCACAATAGTAGTGATGGTTGATTGGGGTTTCTTGTACAACCTGACCAGGTCGGCGATACGCACTCCCACTTTCAGACTTATCAATGATCTCTTTTTTCATTTCTATTGGAATTCTCACCCTTATTGGTGTAGGGTTGGCACTAGAAGCTTTCTTGGGGGCCCCTGGTCCCCTATTTTCCAGAAACAGCACCGAAAACACTGTAATAATATGAAATATTCCGATTGTATGCTTGGATGTTACCGCGGAGGCTGGCTGGTAAACAATGGCACGGGCGGCACATGTGAGGCTGGCTGAGGGCGCACATTGGATGCGTCTCGGACGAAAATCGGTGAGCGGGTTTTTAAGCGGTATGCGAGGCAAAATTTTTGCGATTAAAGCAAGCGGTATGCGGATTAATCGTTATGTGGTGCCATCGGTATGCGGGGGTCCACTGTATATATATGTGTATATACAGTGGACCCTCGGGTAACAATGACATCGGTTAGTGATAAAATCGGATATCGATGCATTTTAGCGTAAAAATATTGGCTCAACCAATGATGAAAAACCCAGTTATGGACAATTGTCCCAAGTGCGTCCGCCTGTCCATCCAGCCTGAGCATGACCCAGCTGCCCTGCCTTCAGCTAGTGTGCCATTGTTTACAAGCCAGTGCGGACGGTTTCACGTATACATTCGATACATTTTGTATTATTCCATTGTTTTTAGTGCTTGTAACTGCTAAATAAGTCACCATGGGCCCAAAGAAAGCTTCTATTACCAACCCTGTGGTAAAAAGGGTGAGATATACTATCGAATTGAAGAAAGAGGTAATCACAAAGTATGAAAGTGGAATGCGTGCCTCCGAGCTGGCCCAGTTGTATAACAAACCCCAATCAACCATTGCTACTATCTTGGCTAACAGAAAGCAATCAAGGAATCTGTTGTTGCAAAAGGTGCAAGTATGCTTACAAAACAGAGATCGCAAATACTCAAAGATGTGGAGAGATGTTATTGATGTGTATCAACGACAAACAATTATCAAGAGATAGTGTTTCACAGTTACTCATATGTGAAAAGGTAAGGGAGTGGCATGCAGATCTCATTAAGAAAATGCCTGGAACTAGTGGTGATGTTAGTGAATTTAAGGCCAGTGAAGGTTGGTTTGAGAGATATAAGAATCGTAGTGGCATACACAGTGTGATAAGGCATGGTGAGGCTGCCAGTTGTGTCCAAAAAAGCGGCTGAAAAATATGTGCAGGAATTCAAGGAGTACATAGACACTGAGAAATTTAAACCCCAAAAAGTGTATAATTGTGACGAAACAGGCCTGTTTTGGAAGAAAATTCCAGGCAGGACCTACATTACACAGGAGGATAAAGCACTGCCAGGACACAAGCCTATGAAAGACAGGCTAACTCTAATGCTTTGTAGTAATGCTAGTGGTGATTGCAAAGTGAAGCCTTTACTCGTGTATCACTCTGAAACTCCCAGAGTGTTCAAGAAAAACAATGTCATCAAGGCTAATTTGTATGTGATGTGGAAGGCAAACAGTAAGGGCATTTTCCATGTTTGGGTCTATCATGTGTTTGGCCCCATTGTGAAAAAATACTTCCTGGAAAATAAATTGAACCTCAAGTCTCTCCTGGTATTAGACAATGCTCCTGCTCATCCTCCAGACTTGCAAGAGCGAATTGTGGGGGAGTTGAGTTTCATAAAAGTGAAATTTTTGCCTCTTTACACCACTCCTCTCCTCCAGCCCATGGACCAACAGGTCATTTCAAATTTCAAAAAACTGTACACTAAAGCAGTGTTTCAAAAGTGCTTTGAAGTGACCTCAGACACTGAATTAACCCTAAGAGAGTTTTGGAAAGATCACTTTAGTATCCTCAGTTGCATAAACCTTATAGGTAAGGTTTGGGAGGGAGTGATTTGCAAGACTTTGAACTCTGCTTGGAGGAAATTGTGGCCACAATGTGTACAAGAGAGGGATTTTGAAGGGTTTGGGGCTAACCCTGAGGAGCTTATACCAGTTGTGGAATCATTGGGGAAGTCCATGGGGTTGGAGGTTAGTGTGGAGGATGTGGAAGAGTTGGTAGAGGAGGTCGATGAAGAACTAACCACTGATGAGCTGCAAGAGCATCTGCAACAGCAAGAGGCCAGACCGGAGGAAATTGCTTCGGAGGAGGGGAGAGAGAAATTGAAGAAGTTGCCTTCTTTAAAGATTAAGGAAATGTGTGAAAAGTGAGTTGAACTGCAAACCTTTATGGAAGAAAAATCACTCTAACACAGCTATTGCAAGCCGTGCTGGTGACTATTACAGTGACAATGTTGTGAACCACTTTAGAAAAATCTTAAAGTAATGTGTGGTACAGAGAGCTCTATGGACAGGTTTTTGGTGTGACAGAGGTCCAGTGACTGTCAAGTTGTTCCCAATGGCATTAAAAAAAGAAGGGAAGTAACCCCAGACAAGGACTTGCTACCTAAAGTCCCTATGGAAGGGGATTCCCCTTCTAAACAATAATACTCCATCATCTCCCCTCCTCCCATCTCATTACTCATATAATAATAATAATAATAATATTATATCTTTTATTTATTACAAGTAC